AATTTAGCGTCAACAGTGTGGACGGCACACGAACTCAAAGCGAATTGTGTACGCGAAACTATTTCAAAAGCTGTTTCCACTCAGTTGCTACGAACATGCCGAATAGGAAGGTCATGATAGCTGGTGCGGCTTTTATTTTCATGTATTTATTAACTGAAGACCGGAAACGTCGAAAGCATCGATGGTGGAAAACTACATTGTATAAAAGAAGATATTCTTTACTTGTGGAACTAAAATCTCAGCATATAAGTGGTCAATATAAAAACTTTACCCGGATGTCGTCGATACCTACTGACTTCGAATATATGTTAACAATCATTGCGCCTAAAATATCAAGACAAGACACTATAATGAGATCTGCAATTTCACCGCAAGATAAAGTGGCTCTAAAGCGCCATTTACATGATGCAAGTTTCTTGCCTGTTGCATACAATAAAATTGAAGCAATAAATTACCTGCATGGTCTAAACAGTACGTAACATTTTGATCTTTTGCGCAAGTTTTGCTTGCCAAAATTTTCTTGGTGTAAACAGCACATACAAAAACTTCTTAGGCGATTCTTGCATTCAATTAGTTTCCTCTTCATTTGCCAACATGAGTGCAGTAAGTGAAGGTGTGTTAATCGTTGCTGCTCTTCTGAGACAAGAAATATTGAGAAATCGTCGTAAAAAGAGGTGTTGGATCAAAAAATGGATAGCAAGAAGAGGAGTTCTTGGAGCGTCTAACAATCTTTGTGTAGAATTACAAATAGAAAATGAAGATGACTTTAAGAACATGTTTCGTGTCAACAGAACCCAGTTTTATTATTTATTTGATAAAATTGGTTCTTCTATACAAAGGCAAAATACAACAATGCGTAATGCTATTCCTGCTCGAACAAAACTAGAAATAGCATTAAAATATTTGGCAACCGGAGATTCGTTTGGTACACTGTCACAATTATTTAGAGTACCTAGGTGTACTATAAGTACATTGTTGGTCGAAGTTCTTGAAGCTATTTACTCTGTATTAGAAGATTTTATAAAGGTGAGTTCGAAATAAAACACTTTCTATAATAGAATCATATATTTTCAGCAAAATAATTAGAAATTGTTAATTACTATTTATGCTCAGTACCCCTAGCACGAACATTTTGATCTATCGTATAGTTTACGCCACAGTTTAGTTTCAGTTAAATTTTGTATGGGAATTTGAACAGCGCTCCGTGGGCGTATTTGGAACTAAAATTCAAAAGCACGAATATCTAACGCTACGTTACGTATCGCTTTCGTATAGTTTAAAGTATAGTAAGACACAAAATGTATGGGAATCGGCAGCACGAATCTTTTTTTGACGTACGTTATCGTCTATACACTGTAGAGAACTACGAAATCTTTGTTACCGACATTTTTACGGTGAGAACGCTATCGAGAAGTATTAGTTTTAAGTTTTCCTGGGGTTTTCGTGGATTTAAGTTTAAAATATTTTTATTAACAACAAATAGAATGCGATCCACGACTTTTTATTATTTTGTGTGGCATTTGGCAGTCGAGGCAAGAAAGCCAAGATGAGAATTAAGGTACGCAAAATTTACTATTTAAAGTATTACTAATTAGTATATTACATAATTATATATGTACCCTTATTTTAACTATTTATTTGATTAATAATTATTAGATTTTAATAGCTGTTTCAATTAAATATATCTAAATCATTCCAGTGGTATAACTCAACGAATTTTTATTCGGCAAACGGAAGACCCTATGGATATTTCTGAATTGGAATTTAAAAAAAGATACAGATTAAGTAAAAATGCATTTAAATTACTCTGCCGTTAATTTTGCTCTGAAAACTTCAGAGGGAGTAAAAGAATAAGCTTAGAACTTAGGTATAAAAAATAATGCACAAAATTAAAGTACCTGCTGTAGTTATTATGTACCTTAGCTCAGTTTTTTAATTTCATTTATGTTTTAGGATCTTTGTGCTTTATTATTTTATGCAACAAGCTATTATCAACGTTTAATCGGTATGGGTAAGAACTTGGACCAAACAAGTGTTATCCAATGTGTCTCTCAAGTTACGGAGGCACTTAACAGTCAATAAATAATAACCAATACCTTTATCAGGTTGCCCATGCCCACTTCAAGGGCTGAGAGAGACGTCGTCAATGTAAAGTACTTACATACTTATTTTTAGCTGTGTTGATTTCTCTAGTCTAATTTTTGACGGCTCCGTGGCGCAGTGGCTTAGCAAGGAGTTGTAGCGCAGGGGGCCGAATCCTGCATGGAACGGAGTATTTGTATGGTCTACAAGTAATTACTGCCTCCGTGACACTGGATAAATCCTATTGTGGCGGTTTTAATAAAACTAGTGTTTTTGTGACTTTTTACAGATTTCTTAGAACATACAAGATAACGGGTGTTATTGGTTGTATTGATGGATCACATTTCCGCTCCGCATATTTCACCACAAATATAATCCAATACGCACCCAATACGTTAATAAGTTATGTTACATAAAATGTCAAACATTACTAATGAAAAAAAAGCTTTTTTGGTATTTTCCCACGAATTTATAATAAACTACCTGATACAATAAAAAATATGAACTTATTTAAATTTAAAAAAAGTGCTTAATGAATTATTAATAGAACAAATGTTATTATAAAATTGACGAGTTCTTGAATGATAGTTTTAACCAATTATATTGACTAATGATATTATTTTGTTATTGTCATCTATTTAATTTTATCAAAGTGGAATCATAATTGGTATTACAACTTCATTCATTTTTATTCTATTTTATTTTTACGGTATGATTATCATAAGAACACACAATTATATTTGTATGTCTTTAAGACAAAACATAGCGTACTAATAATTGTAACCCTCGCAAGACCTTAAATGTTTAAACCTACCTATGTTTGACAAATAAACTATTCTGATTCTGAAAAAGAGATTGACCATTTATTTTATTACCGAAAGTATATTCATTATTTAAAGTGCAAGTTGTAAGTTTAACGGTAAAAGAATGTCCACTACCCTACTCGAGATGGGCAGCAGTCTCCTCGCAATTACAATTAACAAATTAAAAAACTGCGGTTGACACACAGTCCACCTGATGATAAGTGGTTGCTGCGGCCCCTAGACATCTATCCTCGATTACGAATCAAAATACAGATGCGTTGTCACCCGTGAAGACTAAGATGGAATGCCTCGTTTCCAGTAAAATGGTTCTCCAGTTCCTACACTCACCATACGAAACACGACAGCATTAAGCTGCTATTTCACGCTGGTATTATGTGAGAGTTGAGTATTGAAAATATTTAAAGGTTAAAAGATGTAATGAATAACTAGAATTTTAAGTAATTATTATTATTTATTAAATTTTTTTGAATCTTATTTCAAATAAACAGTTAACATGCTAATACACAACTAATACGTAAATTATGAAATTATTATTAATAATTTTATTTAAGTAAAAATTTAGGTACTTACATCATGTGTTGTTGAAGACATACTAATAGCAGGAATTTCAGGTGGTATAATCATTAAATCTGTATGTAGCTCTGCAGGTATCACTGTTTTATTAATTTTGTATAGGTAACCAGTAACCACATAGGCTGTAAAATAATAAGTTATTAGTCTTTACTGAAGTTATTTATATTCAAATATACATTTTTTCTGAATTATATATTTTCATTGAGAAAGTGTAAGGTCATCATATTATCATGTTAGAATGAAAGTTTGTCAGTTAATTTCTACTAAAGTTCTATTTATGTTAAAGCACCCTGTTTTCTTAGTATGTGAGAAATATTTTTAATGAATGCTATGAGCAGCTTTATTCATTTTTGGCCACTTCTTTATTTAAATTACTCCACACTCCTTAAGCAAACCAAATAAAACGACAGTGAACTCAAAATTCATGAAATGAACTATTCATTTAAAACTTTATCTAAGCGCTCTTGATTTTTATTGAAGGTTTTAGAACAATAAAACTAGAACTTACTTTTCGTTACTTTTTTTCACTGTGAGACTTCGATTCCTTGGCTGTGGAGCAAATTACATAGCTCTTCGTATTTTTGAATACACCACTGTAATCCGTGCACTAATTCTGTGCTTTCTATTAATCACCATTCCCTAGAAGTAAACAATAATCTTCGTTTAACAGAACGAATCAATATCAACAGACAATGAATACACAGACTGAAAAATAATCCAAACTCATGTTTAATATAGTTACTTACTTTTACATGAAATCTAATATTGTTGTAAACTGTGTGGCTAGTTCTTGACGGCATCATTATGAAATTCAGCAAAAATTATCTAAAACCAATCTAAAATACAAAACTATTAAAACAACACGAAGCGCGAAGTCAAATGTTTATCTTAATTCTTAAGACGTGAAACATGGTTTTATAAACATAAAAATGTTCCTCCGTAAATTAATTATACAAGCTGTATTTTGTTAATTAACTGTTTTAAATTAATTAGCACACTATTATTAATAAGTTTCAATACTTTTCTTATTTTTACACACAGTAAAAGACTCTACAACTATAATAATATTAATTTATAAACGTATCATTCCTTTTCATTCGTTCGTTTTAATATTGAGTCACAAGGTTTGTTTACATATAGTTACAATATAGTATCGAGTACACGTGAGTAAGAGATAAGCGTTCGTGCTGCCGCCGACTGTAGCCACAGTTTGGTAAAATTTTTCGCTTAGTTGACTCGATACGAATTCTTGACGCAATTGTTTATTATTCGTGCTCGGGGTACAGATCGAAAAATAAACAATATTTATTTATTATCAAAATATCAACTACGGAATCAGATATTTAATAAAAATAGAAAAAAATTACATGTTCAACCATGTGTCTTCGCTGCCTTGTTTCAAATACGGGGATTCTGGCATTGGAGTAAAGTTTTGTCGTTCTTTTTCTCGAAGATCTTGCAGTTTATATTTTGATAATATTGCTTGTATTTCGTCCTGAGCATGTATGTTATTTTCGGTATTCAAAATTCGTAATGAAGACGCAACATATTTTCCGAAATTGTCCAAATCATCGTCTTTTTTTCAAGTCTTGCTCTTTTTTCAATATTGTCCAGTTTATCTAAGGCCGATTCTATGTAACCTGCTTTTTTAGTTGTTTTTTTAGGCATTGGAAACGGAAGCACATCATCGACGACTTGTATATTTGAATTCATAACATTTTCAATATTTTCCGTATTTTCATTTTCAAAATATTCTAAAACTATTTCTTGTGATGCCAGAGACGTATCATTCTAAAAACATACATTTATTTCATTATTTTACAGGTGCCAAGATCTGAAGAGGAATGGAATCAAATAACAAGGGGCTTTTTTATAAGATGGAATTTTCCCAACTGCTTTGATGCCATTGATGGAAAACATATAAACGTAAAATGTCCCCCTGGCACAGAATCAGACTTTTTTAATTATAAAAGTACATTTAGTATTGTGTTCTAGCTTGTGTTGATCACGACTATTGTTTCACATACATTGACCTGGGAGCAAAAGGTGGAAACTCTGATGGTGGAATATTTAATAATTGTACTTTAAAGAAGGCTATTGAAGAGAATACCATAAATTTGCCAAGTAATGCAGTACTTGTCGGAGATGAAGCGTTTCCTTTAAAACCTTATTTGATGAAACCATATCCTCGCCGTAACGATTTAAGTAGAGAACAAAAAATCTATAACTACAGATTGTAGATGTAGGAGAATTGTTGAAAATGCTTTCGGAGTTTTAACATCCCGATTTCGAATTTTCGAAAAGCCAATCACTACAAGTATAGACAAGGTAGATGTCATAGTGAAAACATCATGTGCTTTACACAACTGGCTTAGGAAAACTTCACCTGCGTCTTACACCCCACCAGGTTTTATAGACGAAGAATGTCAAAGAAGTGGTCTTCGTCTTGGTACTTGGAGACAAAATGCTTCAGGCGGAGCTTTTGAAAATATAACATCACAGAACAACAGGAATAGTACAAGGGAAGCTATAAGAATCCGTGATAATTATTTTCATTACTTTAACAATGATGGTGCTGTACCTTGGCAAGACAGTGCCATTTTTTAATGAAATAAAAGTTTCACATTTATAATATTATGCACTTGACTGTACTTTAGAAAATTTACATAAATACATACTTACCATATTTGATGTTGTTTCTCTGTGTTCAGAAGTTTTCCTTAAAAAAGAATCCATTAAATTATACCAAGAGAGTTTGGACTTGTAAATATCAGCAGTACCGGAACCAGTGCTCATTGAATCTTTTATCTTTTTCCTTTTCGCGTGATACTGCGTTCTTAAGTTTTTTATTTTGTTTGTAATTTCCTTAGGTCCCAAACCATCAACTCCAAATTCTTGTGAAAATGCTACAAGTGCAGCACTACGTGCATCACGATTCTTGTAATTCACATTTTCAGTGTCCCACAAACACTCATGACTGCGATAAATCTCAATAAACTTTATTAAGAGAGCAGAACCAAATTTTAACACTTTTTGACTCATATTTTTTAATAAACAGACTCTTTACAAAACCTTCCAACACTTGAATGAAAAATTTGACAACGCAAATACGTGCAATACTTGAAGCAACCCGCCAATAAATGGTACACGCACATACAACTCTCTATTTAGACAAGTCAAAACTTGAAAGCAATAATCTCCTAAACATTATTGTATTGGTCTAAACAGAAGACATTTGCAACTATTTTTTGTCAAGACTTGCATTCAATAATTGCGTTCAATTTTTTTACTTGTATCCACGTGTAAACAGTTGCGTACAATTCTTGAAGGGCAATTAACGCACTTAATTTATTGCATTCAATAATTGCACTTGAATGTACAAGAAAATTGTATCGTCTAAATCACGCCTAACACTAAGATTTTTGGCAACAGGAGATTCATGTACAAGCCTTCAATACACCTTCAGAATTTCAAAACAGTCAATGTCTTGTATTGTACCAGAAGTTTGTGAAGCGATTATAGAAGCATTGAGAGAAAACATTAAGGTGAATTTTACATATTTTTATTTATTTACTAAAATAACAAATTAAGGTATTGTATTAAGTAGGGTAAGCAAAATTAAAATTATTCAAAATTAAAATTATTCCAAAATTACAGTTAGAAAGTTAAATCAAATTGTCGACATAGTCTGCATCTTTCAATTATGTAGTACAATTTTTTTTTCAAATCAGGTCATTCACAAAATCTACATCTTCATATGAAGTTTGGGATGATTCTGAGGGAACAGGTGAAGCATATGGAGCTGTAGGTTAACTTGTCTGATTGTGACCTGTTGAATACCCTGAAGTATACGGTTCTGAGCGATTAAATTCTACGCTCGTAGATCCACGCGTCGTATATATCAGATTCCGTCCGCCACCCTACACGCCCGCGTCCTGAAGGGATACCCTTCAGGACGCGGGCGTGTAGTTCCAATACGCTCAGGAGACTATGGGCTTGACGCTCCGTCATCTTATAGGAGATAAAACGCGCACACACTGATACGCGGACCTCTACACATATCATTCTCCCGGCCGAAGCGGAAGTAAGAAAAGAGAAGGAAAACCAAAGTGAACTAAACTACACTAAACCACAATTAAAACGTAGATATTCGCTGAAGCTATCGCCTCTATGGAATCGATACTTGAACATCGTTTCGTTAGAGGTATTCAAAAACGTCTTTACCATACAATCATCGCAAGTGGATGAAACTATCCATGTATATACTGTTACACCGTTCGAGTGGATACACAGCGGATTCTCATCTTGCATGGCTTTAATAAGCTACGCTAGCGCGAATAGCAATGACTTCAAAGATAATCCTTGATTTTCACGTGAACGGATACGTAACGTGATAGCTCCGAGGAACCACTGCCCAAGCGTTGCTGGTTTCAGTAGACTCCCAAGTAGCGATGGTAGAGAGGCAGCATGAGCGTCGAAAAACGCCCGCGAATTGATTAACTCTTCCAAGCGTACTAAAGAAGGCGAGAAGCGCGGAAGCCATCGTTCACGCACTGGCGTTTGCGTTGCCATCTTACGGACCAGCGTACCAACGAGCATACTCTCATAATGATTTCTTAAATTTACGCGAACACTACACATTGAATAAAACTAAATTTACGGATTTTATCGCGTTTATTTCACTACTTTTACTTATTTTTTTTAATTCCCGACGTTTCGGGTGCTTTACAGCAACCATGGTCACGGGAGGGACTGAGATGTTTGACGTCCCAATGTCATAGTTAGTCCGGCTACCTTCAGTTTTTGAATATTAATTTTTGGTCCGATTTACGCAAAACGAGCTCGGGAATTAAAAATAAGTAAAAGTAGTGAAATAAACGCGATAAAATCCGTAAATTTAGTTTTACTCAATGAGCATACTCTCGTTGTGGTAACGATCCACCTCCTCGGGAACTAAGCATTGCAGGATCCCAGCAAAAATGCTAGGGTCATCGAGGCGACGTTCAATCGCTATTTCTACCTTGTTGAAGTTATCGACTGAGACTACGGACATCTTCCGCTCTCTAGTAACATCATGAAACTTACCTGTGAATCTTATTTCCTCGGATACGCCTTGTACTTCGAAAAGATCATGTCCTATCGAGGCTTCGTAGGTTATTTCACAAAAGCCATTCAACTGAGATGATCTCAGCGGATACAACTGTTTTCTTGCTTTAATAATACGTCTTTCTGTAAGTTTATTTGCTGATGAGGTCGAAGAAGTTCGTGGCGCAGAGGGTGAGCTTCTTGCAGCCAACGCACTTGCCTTTAATGATCGGGACATATTTGGTACCGTTCCTGGTTAACAAAGAAAACTAGCGCTCAAACAAATGCCGTTTTCGCACAGTGAAGTTAAGTAAATTTTTTTATTAGATAAAGAAGTTTGTTCATTGCAGTATCTTGATGAAGAAACCGAGCCTGTTGTATACCCACTGTAATTGAATTGAGAATTGAATGCCGATGTATTATAATGTTGAGAAAAGTTAGTGCATCCTTCATCGGCTTTGAATATTATGTCCATTATTGCTCGCTGCACGGCATTTTTAGTACTTCTGTTATATTGTTACATCTTGCTGCATATAAAATCTGAAAAGAAAAGAGTTTCATTGTCAAAATTATTAGGATTATTGTTTCGGGGTTCAGGAGTAAGACTAGAAGCAGCACTCTTAAGCAGGCCAAGAGCCTCCGAAAGCATACCCATTTTATTATTTTCGTCTGATTTTTTTGGGAGCCTGACCAGTTGGTGATATAAATTCTGAACTGTTATCATTTTCTGCACTTGTAGATGCTCTCTGTTCCGGTTAATTTGTAATCTGTAATAAAAAAGAAATTCATTGTTTCAGATGCCAACAACAGAGTCCGAATGGATCCAGATCTCAAACAGATTTGATGAATTGTGGAATTTTCCCCATTGTGCCGGAGCCATGGTCGGTAAACATATCATTCTTGAGGCTCCGGTACATAGTGGCACAGAATATCGTAACTACAAATGGAATTTCAGTATAGTGATGTTTACTTTAGTAGACGCGGAATATAATTATAAATTTCTGGATGTCGAATGTCAAAGCCGAATATCAGGTGGTGGAATTTTTAAGGATACTGAATTATATAGAAAACTAAAAAATAATTAGTTAAGATTGCCTGCATCTGAAGCACTGCAAGGTAGAAACAAAGTAGTATCATATGTTTTTGTAGGAGACTCTGCCTTCACTTTACAAAACAATATAATGAAACCCTATCCAGGAGAATACCCCAATGGATCGCCGCGAAGAATTTTTAATTACCGGTTAAGCAGAGCTCGCAGGATTGTAGAAAATGTATTTGGTATCATAGCATCTGTGATCAGAGTTTTACGAAAACCTATGCTCCTTCAGCCCGAAACCGTGGAGACTGTAGTCATGGCTATTGTACACTTGCATAATTTTTTGAGAAACACGGATTCATCTAAAAACTTGTATGCACCCTCTTGATCACTTGACAGTGACCAAAACGGAAGATTATGTGAAGGTACCTAGAAGGGCTGCCTTAACAACAAAACAAATTAGAGATGAGTTTAATGACTAATTTATGAACGAGGGTACAGTTTCTTGGCAGAATACATATTGTTTTTTATCAAGTTGAAGGAAACTAGTTCAATGCAGTTACCTCTGTGTTGCGTCGTTTCCTTGGATTATTTCGATCTCCTAAAAATGCCAACGCCTCGTAGGCAAACCATGTACTTTTACAACGTTTCATCCCCACCTGTAAAATAAATTACAAGAAATAAAACAACAGTTTTAAAAAAGACAAGGACGGAAGATCATACAATAGAAGTAATAATTGTACTAATAGCAAGTAAGTGATAATACCTAAATTACAACTAAATTAATAAATAAAAGTATGTAATATGTAAGGCCCGGTAAGACGAGCTCGTCTGGACCCGGCTTAAAGATCAGAAATTTGTAATAAAACATACCTTTTCCGGAACTATGACTCTTCTATACTTTTCCTTTTTCTCTTCGATGTGAAGCAAGCAAACTAATCATTTTGTATTCATTCTTCCACATCTCTTCTCAATGAATGAGCAATATCACTCCAAGCATCGTTTTTCAGATTTTTTTTTAAAGTAATGCGGGTTTTTGGATCCCAAACAGGGTTTTCTTGATACAAACTAATAAGTTCAAGCGATTGTTCATCACTCCACATCATGAACGTACACACGACACAACCGTCACGAACGACGTTCAAACGAGCACTGCGAGCGCCTTAGTGTTCGCGCGAAAAACCGACAGCCGATGGATCAACTCCGAGCGCCGCGCGAGCGTTACATGTAATGCTCGTAGTGCTGTCCACACGTAGAATTCGTGTTACATTACACGGTGGATTACATTACACGTTACTACGCGTTCATTTCAAGTTTGCCGTCGTAGACCGTTACGACGTCACAGCTGACGGTACCGTAGACGAAAAAAGTCATCATGTTTGTGTTTTTTAGTATTCATATTTTCAATAAAGTTAAATAATAACATGTTCGATGAAATAAAATATTTTTTGAATGATGGTGATGATGAAATAATAACGTGTTCGATAAAATAAAATATTTTTTTATAGTTTTATTTTACATTTTAAATATATCAAATTAAAGATTTTCGAAATCGCTTGTTTCTGTGTCACTGTCGTCACTCCATTCTGTGTCACTGTCATCAGTCTCTCCGCCCACCGAAATAATTCTCTTTCGTTGAGTTCTTGCAACCTATCGCTTTCCCAATATTGTGGCCGTAAACGGTCAACGTGGTTTACCTCTTTTTTCCAGTCCTCTACAGAGATACTATTAATAGCTTCCAGAGTGAGTTTTTGTATTTCTTTTTCAGACTGGCTACTTTTTGCTTCACTAGATTCCACACGTACTCGATGGGATTCAAATCACATTGGTACGGTGGTAGGCGTAAGACTTCGTGTCCATGACTTTGGACAATTTCGTCAATTTCATATTTTTTGGTAGGCTTCGAACGACATACTACATAGTATAATTCTCGCTTCGTCATCTTTGGGTCAAAGGATATACCATTTTCCTGCAACCATTTTTGCATAACTTCTTTGCGTGCCACTGAAGTCGGTGGTTTATCAATCTGGCGGCTGTGATACGGTGCATTGTCAAGTACAAGAATGCTATTGGGAGGTAAGTTGGGTAGGAGTTTTTCCTGTATATACTTTTTGAAATTATTTGCGTCTATTTCATTATGGTAGTCCCCTGCAGTGCTTTTGCATTTATAAAGGAGTTCGGCACCTTTGACAAAACCATTCTCGCTGCCAGCATGGACCACAATCCAACGTTGTCCGGGATTGAAATTCTTTTTTACACTTGCATCAGTTGCATTTTGCCAGCATTTTGAAACGGTATAGTGGCTGTGTATCCACGTTTCATCCAAATATTTGACTGGTTTTTTATAGACTCCCTGTTCATCATTTTCACGTAATCTCCGCAAGTAACGTGCTCTCCATACTGCTATCTCCGGTTTCTGAATAAGATATTGTCTTATATTTTTACATTTTGTAAACTTATATCCAAGATTCGTTTTTATAATTTTCCAGAGAGTGACTTTTTGCCCAGGAAAATTGAAGTCTTTCTTTGCTTCTGCTAATATCTTGCGCAGCGTAGGAACTTCTTTTTTAACTGTGTAGAAACGGTCAATTATGTTTCGAATCGAACACACCATGAAAGCATCTATTTCCAACCTCTTTGTGGCTATTTTCTTTTTTCTCGGTGACGTCAATTTTATTTCTTGTGTACTTGAAGTACTGGGCTCAGGTGAGCTCGTTTTAATTTTTTTTTGCTTCAGTTTTTATATTTCTTAAAGTACGTTCAGATATACTAGTGGCGGCCGCAGTTCTCTTGATAACGTTATCGAATGATTTTAATAGCGCCTGGTACTTCTTTTCATTTTCGAACAACTTAATTTCTATTTCCGACGGTACATCGGGCTGTGTGAGCAGTGTGCTGCCACAAGTATCACGTAAGTTTTCATTTTTTAATCTGGCAATACTTTTCATAGCTACGACGTCGTGAACATCATAAGGCGTTATCAACTGCTTTTCAACCTTTTCTTGTTCAAAGAATGTTATTATCTTATATAATAAATTGCGTTCGCCACTGTGCAAGACCTTTCCTCTTTTACTCATTGTAACAGAACAAATTAACGAATATCAACAGAAACAAAAACAAAAAATCAACAGTAACAAAAACAACAGCAAAAACAGTAACAAACTAGAGAACGTACGGGAGCATAAAAAACGGACGTAAGTACACTTCGACGTTGCTATCGGTACTAAAAGGGCGACGCTTGAGGCGCGGAATGAGTGGGCGCGGCGGGAGGTAACGGCATTCTTAAGTGAACGACTAGTACACTCGTCTGGACCCGGCTTTAAATTTTACTGCCGTTTTGTAACTTACGTATTGTTCTCTCGCACTTTTCCACCTCTAATGTATACTTTTTACTGAAACAATTAAATTTATTCTGTAACAGGTACCTTGCATCTGGAAACACATTTACTGATCTATATTACTCTTATCATATGGGGATTTCTACAATCAGTGGAATAGTGAAAGAAGTATGTCGAGCTATTTGGGTTACTTTAAAAAACGAAGTCTTAAAGCTCCCGAATGAACCTAATGAATGGATTGAAGTTGCTTAAGAATTTGAGAATATCATATCATTGTCCTTTTATTAAATTGGTCTTTAAAAATCTTCTTTAAATATAAGAAAAATTGCGGTCTCGTCTTATATTCGTTTTTTATTTTATTTGTCACATCCGGTATAATGTTCTTTTTGTTATTATATTTTTATTATAAATCAAAATAAACGTATTTATTTCCTTCAACAAAACATCATTTTCTGTGCAGGGCCCGGCGGTGCGCTTGCATTGTATCAGCGCACCGCCTGGCAGGGTCGCCATGTAAGGACGAGAGAAATGAAACGCTTGAGTGTTGACGTAAGACTGACTGTATTTACGTTGTTAATAAGTTTATATATTAGATTATACCCGAACATACGTATAGGTGCTAGGTAGATACTACAGTAACTCCCACAAGGTCTCTCTGAGTTACTGGGTCAATGCAGTAACACACTCTGTGTGTTCCAGTGTTCCCGTGAACGGGGTGTGCTTAGTTCTCAGACAATATCGACAGGTCCTCACCTTTAAAGCTGGGTATCCATTACGTTCGCGAACTTCTTGCGCTCCACGCTCCCGTAACCGCTCTGATGGAGACGGGTACGCGTATCTCCATAGGAACATGCATGCTCCACAATCCTCTTGTGAACATTGAGCGAACATGTCGTCACTCGCTGTCGCATATATTTTATTTCATTATCTACTCGAAGACTATAGAAGCCCTCCTCGCTTTTGGGAATCTGACATTTTCAAGAAAAGACGTCCGAATTCATTGGTGTTGGAACTCAAATCTCAAGAATTAAGTGGCCATTATAAAAACTTCATGCGAATGTCTTCATCTAATTTTGAATATTTGTATAATTTGGTTGTACCAGCTATACAAAAAAAAAAAGACACAAAATTTCGGAAAGCTGTATCGGCTCAAGATAAATTAGCATTAACGCTACGATTTTTAGCTACGGGTGATAGTTTCACAAGCCTGCAATACTTATTTAAAATCTCAAAACAGGCAATAAGCAAATTTATCCCAGAAGTCTGTCAAGCTACTATCAATGGACTGAAAGACAATGTGAAGGTAAGAAATGTTTTATTAATAATAGGTTCCATACAAATTAAAAAAATAATATAACAAGTATAATTAAACGAAATCATCGACATCAAAAGAATCCGCGCTGTACTGCGATCCGCTTGAACTACTTTGACTGATATCAGCTTCAGAGGTACTACCTGTTGGCCGGGAGTGTGCTGATGAATAAATCGGATCCAGTGTACCTGTTTCTGGCCGTGTTGTATAATAATTTTGTGACTGACTTGTGTAGTAACCATATTGTTCATTGTTTCTAAAATATTCTGCGTCAGCTTTAAATACGATATCACATAAACGCTGTTGTACCAAATTCTTCGTGCGATGATCGTAACTTCTCAATTTATTCTCTAAAAATTTACAAAACGTGCCTATCTCGTCCTCTTGATTCGACTTGGTTGATGCTGATTTTAAAATACCAAATGCATCCTTTGGCATGGCAAGTTTTGGATCGTATTTGCGTTTTTTTGGAGGCTTCGGGGACGCATTTGTCGAAGATGGAGGCCCATCTGTAGTTTAATAAACTTTATTAGCATAATTACATTCCTTTCCTTTACAATAAGCTTTTTTACAATATGTTTAAAGTAAGCTATGCACAA